AGGTATCAGCCTGAGGAGGCCTGTCTTTTGTGCAGTTTGCTAAAAACTTAAAATGCTTTTGTCTCTGCTTCACTGCTCTTTCCGTTTGTCATACTTTGGGTAAATCTTTATCCTGATTGTCCATGGTGGAAGAGGAGGGAGGTGACAGGCTGAGACTCCCTGAAGGCGGGTGAGTTCCACAGCCTGATTTTATTGCCCTGATAAAACGCCCCCCGGGGTTATCGTGACAGGCAGTTGCCCCCTTTTCATGCCCACACTCCGACGGCACCACGACAAGCTGGAGAGAAAAATCACACATCTCATTTCTCTCACTCAAACCCAAAATGCGTTTTATGGACATCCCTCCCCTTTTTGCTGCAGATGGGTTAAATATTACATCAAAGCATCTTTAATGTTTCACAGTACCTCTCACGTTTCTGCTCAGTATCAAGTTCAAAACTGGTGCAGGCTGCATTTTTACAGTAGATTTAATGGATCAATGTCCATAATCACATTAGCACTGGCTTAACGTATAACAAATTTTACCGTACCAGCATCAAAGACATGACCCCTTGTTATAATCAAGCATAGCATCTTTTCCTCCACTGAAAATTTATGTGTGGGCCTTGTGATACTCAGAGAAACAAAAAAGTTGTCAAGGTGGTGATCAGCTGAACCTCTGAGAACAGTTGTATGAGAGGAAACCGTTAGTCCCTCATGGTCACACAGAGCTTCACGCACCTCCTCCCTGTTTTTCACAGATCATGCTGATAATCCTTCTTCTCATGGAAAAAACAGTTCGGAAGAGAACCAAAACTGCAACTTCAAAATACCAGAAACTTTCATTTCTCAAGGCGCAGGGCAGGCGGAAGGTGGTCTAGCTGAGTGATGCAATTTTTCAGAAAAGAAAAAGAAAGCATGATGTATGATGTCCCAAGTTTGGAAAAAAAAAACGCCGCCACAGTCTTCACTCAGCACTTCCTGCGCAGGCCCAACAGGACATCAATGAATAATACAGATTAGCAAAAAATTCAAACAGACAAACTGCAGACAAACCAGAATTGATGGCTTCCACTGAGCCACTCAGGGAACAGACCATGACGTAAAAGGAAAAACATGTCGGGTTCCCCCGGCCAGGTTAATCAAGACAAGCTTCCCTTGCAAAAAGACGTGTATGTATGTATTTCGGCGGGGGGGTTGATTGCAGCCAAGTACTTTTCATGTATGTGTGTGGACGCATTGCTCATTCATAATATGCAATCTTATTTTACGGCTGATTGTATTTGCCATACACGGGCTGTATGCATGAGGTCTTTGCCCATATTCCTCTACCCATGCAGCATAGCATAAATAAACAGCAACCCTGTATAATCCATCATCCTGTGTGCTGTGGGAGTGTGCCCAACACAAACATGGCTCCTGTTTTCTATCTGTGTGAGGGAGACTGTGTGAGGGCTAGGATGGGTAGCACTATTATGTTGGTGCTCACTGATTGTCCATGACTGTGAAACATAAACCGCCAGCACTAAATGAGGATTATACAAATGAGCTTCCTCTGTGCTGTGCTTTTTTTTTCTCTCCGTGTCAAACTGCCGGAAGAAGACGAAGCAAAGAGAGCGCACTTTGTTTCTGTACTCCCATAATTCTCTTTGAAGTCCTCATCTGAGTTTGAGAAAGGCTAATGATATTTAAAACACCATGTTGGGGGATACAGTTGGTTTCCATTCCGTTTTAGCATTTAGTTTTTTATCAGTTTAGCCATATTGTCAGAAAATTAATATGGACACTAAAATAAAAATATTAAAATAGACCTGCAAGTTCCAAACTGTGTCCCTGGACGTGGAAAATCTGAAAGCAGCAGGTGATTAACTACCACACTTTTTCCTTCCTCAACAAGTATCATTGAATTCCCAAATAGCACAGAAACTGAGCAGCTGAGCTGCTCTGTGATGGTTTCAGGCAGGTGGGAAATTTTCCGTTAAGGTTTTGTCCAAATGTAGCCTATTTATTATACATATATATATCAAACACTTTGTATATATCAAACACATTCTGGCACTTATACTGAACCATGATTGTAGAACAATATCAGTTCCCCTGTGTTAGTCAGGCTCTTAATTAACCCGAATTTCATAAAGTCACCTTTTGTAATTATGTATTTTTGGCATGAGACACATCAAAATAAAGGGAAATAACATAGACTTTCCTTATATGGCCCCCAGGGAGACGCTTTGTATTCTGCTGAAGTTAATTATTTCCTGTATATGACTAGATGCTGTAGAAAATGGTGCTGTTACATCAGATTTATGGTAACAACTGACCTCATCTTCAGTTTTTCCAGCTTTAACATAGAGCAACTTCCTTGTTAGAGTAATTGTCATACAACACCAAGATGCATATACTAACAATAGTATGACTATTGTGCCCATAATGCACTTTGTCCACAATCTCCTCATTCATTGCATGAGGACTTTATTTACAGAACCCTCTGGGTAACGCAATGCCACGCTCTGATCACACACACCAGCCCACTGCATGTAATTATCCTCGGCCCGCTCGCCAATCTGTCACTGCCCAAACTCATTTGTATGTGTGCATGTACGGTGATTAAAGAAACTTCTGCGCCACTGCAAAGAGGAGGCTTCTATCACTCCCCCACCCCGCCCTCCTCCACATTGGGGGAATTCTCCAGGAATGAGGCGAAGCTGCCATGTCAGAACGAGCCAGGCAGACGTGTACAGATCGCCAACATTGCTAATGCATCTGAGGCGCTGGTGCAGCAGTCAAGTCATAATAATTAAAGACATACAGCATCTCAGGGCTTCATTAATCATGGTTTATATGGACTTTGAAGCCCTAATGAAAAACAGCCTGCCTCTCTGGGTTTATTGTGTCTGTACAAATTGTGGGGACGGCGTACGCCAGGACTGCAGCCCCCTCACCCCCATGACTATAGCTGTTACAGGAAGTCCTGATGGAAAACAAAAAGATAAGATTTGGTGAAAGGTCTAGTGCTGGTTACAGAGAGGTCAGCGGTCAGGGTTGTTTATGTAGACGCAGAACGGCATTCAATCAGACACAAGCAAGCTGCTGACAGTGACGGCAGTGTGAGTTTACGTGGCTTTGTGTTTGCACATTTCTCAGTGTGTGTTTGTGTATGTGTGTGTGTGTCTGTGTGTGTGTGTGTGATAAGATGCACGTGATTTTCGTTGGCCCTCCGTGCTCCAGAGATTCATCTTGCAGTGTCACACATCATCGTCTTTGATTCACTATTAGTTTCTCAGATTCTCACCGTGCTCTCCAGCCCTTCTGGAGGTGCATTTCAGTAAGATCAGAGACAGAGATTACTGGGTATTATAAGCTCTCTGTGCCAGAAGTGGAAATTACAGAGAGCCTGTCAACGCCAGAGTTCTCTCTCTCGCTTGTTTTCTCCTAGAGAGAGAGCGAGGTAATGCTTTACTCAAAACATTTCATCCCAATGACTTGTGACATGGGCCCTGGCAGCTCTGTCGGAGGTGAGTCACAGCGCGAGGTATGTGTAGCTTGACAAAAGGAAGACAGAGGGGGAGAGACGCTGCTTCGGACTCCTGCCCAGTACACATGCATCTTCTCTCAATAAAAAGTCTCTTTGGCAGGTTTACATCACAGTAGTCCATTGAGCTGAAGGAAATATACAGTAGAGGAGAGGGGGTGGGGGGCATCTATCATCTGAAATGCAAAGGATGATGTCACTTTATTTCATCCTTAATGACAAGTCCCACCTAAAGGTGCAATATCCTCCAGCCAAGGTGAGCTTTCAGCATCACTTTGGGATTCTGTCCAAGTTGTGTGTCTATTTATAGCTTTTATATAGAACAACTATCTGCCTACTTTAAATACACAAAGAGTTGGAGTCTGTCCACAGTAAAACTGAATTCAGGGATTCATTTCCTCTCCGACACAAGCTCCCCACTTACATTTGTCATGTTATGGGGTGCCTCTGACGGAGCGCAACTGACAGATGAAAGGTTAAAGTGGCCCCTCGGAGTAAACAAGTCAGAAGGCTCCAGAATGAAAGGAGGAGAAGTTGGGGAAATGGCTGGATTTATTTGGGGGCCAAGAAGCATCGTGCTCTGTGGAGCCTGCGGTTTGTCAGCGTTCCTCCCAGGTGAGCTCACACTGGGCCATGGCGATCGCGTCCAAACCTCCCACCCACACAACTGACGCCTCAGCCAGGAAGAAACAGCGTCCTGAGCTCAAGGGGTTGACTCACACAATATTTAGCCGGTAGTCAAAACAAAATTAGCACTGGTTTGTTGTTACTAGTTAGCTCATCCGTGGCCCCTGTGTTTATCATTTCTGAGGTGAGCGGGAAATGTTTAGTTGCCACCTTGGAGCGTCTAGGGATTATAGGTGTAGAAGCTGGATTTATAATTCAAGATCAGTGGTGATGGTGAGACATCCACTTTGAGAGGGAGATATTACATTGAAGGAGATACTGGAACATTAAAGATAAATAGACATAGAAACAATAGGTGAAAGGAGGCTGAAAAAGAAAATAGAATAGATAGAAAGTTTAAGGAATAACATCAATCATACAGTTATAGCACGGAAGTGTAAATTGTTAAGATTATATCCAAATATGATATATATGATACAATATAAGGGGGAACATATGTTTATATATTTTTTAACCATTTGGTCTTAGTGTTTTGTTCAAGTCGGCCAAGAGCAGTGCTGGACCTCACCAATACCTAGAGAAGTCAACCTAGACAATGGCGCCACCCTGTGTTTGACACTGTGTTGCAGGAGCATTTTTGTCCTTACCCACAAAATAGCTTTCAGCTGAGACATGAAATCAGAGGAGAACAAGGGTTGCCTTACTGAGTTGTAAAAGGTTTGTAAACAAGAAAGATTAAAAAATATGAAAAAAAGATAAGAATGCAAAATAATAATTTATGTAATTGTTTTTTGTACATCAGAAACTATTTATATTTAACACAAAAAATTAGAAAACAAATTTTTGCCATTTTTGCTGACAATGTTATAACAATTAAATGTTTGTATCACATTGACATGTTAATTAGAACAACTAACTATTAAATACTAATAACTTAAATAAATGGCTAGCTTTTTATACAGGTAATAAAAAAGCTTAATCAATCCCAGAAGGGATAATGGTGGGTGAGGATAAGTGTCAATAACGTGAATATAGAATGAACGTAATATGGAGATGATATTCTAGTTGCTTTCTGCAGAGGTTCAGATTTAATAAGTGCATATCTGTCCTCTGTAAAACTTTGAATAGAATACATTTTTCAGGGTTGTAAAAAGTTCCTCATTCTCCTCATGCTCTCTGTTTCGGTCCCCAGACCGTCCACCTCATCCGCCTCACGCCACTTCCCCCTGGGATGCAGAAAGAGGTAGTACAGGGTGAGGCTCACCAGGCCCAGCACTGAACCTCCAGCGATTAAACCTACGACTGGCAGCAGAAATGGGGCAGTCTGCAGCTCCGGCTTCAACAGAGCCAGCATGACTGGAGCCATAATGTTTAGAAGAAAGTGGAAAATGTAGTAGATGGTCATGAGCACTTTTGTGTCCTGACCTTTGACATTGAAAAAGGTGAACGTGAGGATGACTCCGATGACGGCCTGGTAGAGGAGCTCCAGGCCTTTGGATGAGCAGAAGTTGGTGTGAAGCAGGTGTGTGAAGGTTGTCATGAGCAGCCAGAAGAGGACGAGAGCCACGGCGCTGTAAGAGCTCAGTATGAGGAGGAGGCTGAAGCTGAGGATGTGGCTGGTGATGGTGCAGAGCTTGTACAGGAGGTAGATTGCTGTGGGGAGGCCTGAGGGCATCTCCCGGATATGGTGGAGGGATCTGCGCAGGCAGCGACGATAGTCCACCAGGGCCCAGGCGAGATTGAAGAAGGAAAAGGCCATAGATAAATCTGAACATAACGGACAGATGGTGTGAATAATGACAATTTAAATTCATGAATATGCAGAGATTTGAATGAAACTCACTTACACTGCATAACAGAGCCTTCATCGTGACCCAGCAGTATGTAGATTTGTAGAAGGAGCTGGGGGGCACTCTCCAGGAAAGCCTCAAACAGTTTGAGCATGCTCAGATCAGTAGCCAAGCAAAACAGATAGTGGTGCTCCTCCCTACTCTCTTCCACCGTGCAGCACTTTGGCGTCATCCTAACTACTTCAAACCCTCTTTTCAGCAGGTGGTAATACCTAGCAACAGGTCAGAGACAACACAATGAAAACACGGTCAAACATTCTGCAAACCTCACATCCTCCTCCACTTATTCATTATTTGCCGATACAACAGGGATGTACTTTCAAGGCTTCTTCTTGATGTGATGAAACACACCTTAAATGTGGTTATTCCAGTCTGCACATTCTGCAATACCAAGTCATTGTGCAGGAGCAGCATGCTGAACATTTTTGAGTCAAAACGTGCATGAAGTTTTTTAGCCTGGAAGAGCAGCTCGTGTTACTTTGCAGATATAATAGGAGGGATCAGAGCCTGCAGTGCTCTTATCACAGTAAGTGTCATCATTCCATACCTGGAGAAGACTCCCATGCCAAATACGTGCAGGACAACAAGTAGACCAGTTGACATGCCGGCCACTGTTCCTCTCCCGTCTGGGTTTCTCAGCACGTTCTTCATATCGTCCATGTACCAGGCAGAGCTGAAGAGCTGGCTCACCAGCAGTCCAGCCAGAACAAACAGGAGAGTCAGTCCAGTCCAGACATATTGTTTCTCACAAAAATATTTCAGAGCCAGTCCCATGTCTGTCCAAATGTCCACCACATAGAGGACAAGTCCAGCAATGGTTAGTAACCATCGCAGCCGTGTGTACTGACTCTCTGAGTGAAGCATTTTGTTGTCACTTGGCAATATCAACCAGGGATTTAACAGCCAGCGGTGTTTGTTTTTCATGAGAAAAGCTGCTCCCGACTGTTTCTTGTTGGTTTCTGGGAGTTCAGGTGCTATTTCAGTTGATCTGTGAAAGCAACACACAAGATCAAATTCGGTAAGTACCACACACAAGCCACTCTTGCAGATTTACAAAAAGGTCAAGCAAACATTTGCGAAAGGCAGGTGAAGGTTTTAAATGCAACGTGACTGCGGTCAGCTGCTGCTTCGTCATATTCTCCTGCCCTTTGATCAAACTTGATAAATCTTTATTATACGAGTCCTGAATTACGACACACGTATTGTTCATGTGCAATAGAAAAATAATCACTGATGTTACCAGCACGAATAATAAAATGCTCAAAATCTTACCTTGCCGATTCTTACCACTTACATAAGTTATATTGTCTTTTCCCTGTAACTTCTCACAATCATATTTTAAAAGCAATTTACTGAATCACAGAATAACTACATGTGAAGTCTCCTGAGCATATCTGGCTTCAATATAATTGTAACGTTAATGAGAGTTAATAAGAGACAGAAGACAAATTTGAAGGCAAATCCAAGATTACATTTCTTTATAAATAATTCTGAAAGACAAATTTGATAAGTTTAGAAACTAGAACCTACACACCTACAATTTAGAATTACAGTAAAACACACACACACACACACACACACGTGTACTTACCAGTATCTTCTTCCCATGGTAGACAGCTGTGCACAGTCACACAGGGAGACTCGTCTGCATGCAGCCGTTCACTTCCTGTTTGCTTGAAACTCGTGACAGGCTCCACCTCACTGACTCTGAGCCAGTAGTCATACCAGAAAGATGCAATAACATAATCTATTTTAGGTATGTGTGTACGTATACGTTGTTTTGTTGCTTCATTCTGTGAAACGAAAACACGAATGCACACAGAGGATGGGAAGGATGACGTCACACTTTGCACAGGTTTTCCTGTAATTCTAGTATTTACAGTAAGTGTGAGGACAGATTATCTCAGATCAGGAAACATGAACTGCACCGCATTGTTTTCAAATGACAAACATTTTAAACTTTAAAAACTCATAAATGAATGCACAAATATTGCACCGCTGATGATCACACTGAAAGAGAAGCTATTTATGTTCGACTATAAGCAATGAAACATTGGTCAACTGCTTCCAGTTGTTTCACTTCCTCAATGTTGTGGAATAAGCAGCAGTTTTTGGCACCAAATGTTAGTTAATCTGAGACGGGATACTGATTTAAGACTCTTCTCTACCACAGTCTAAATTCTACATTTTAAATATGATATATAAATTCAGATTATGTATTTTTAAATGCTACTGAAAGTATTAAGGTCAATCAGAAATGTGCATTTCCCAAACTATCAACCTATTCCTTTAAACTCCAATGTGTTTAAGCACAAGCAAGATGTAAGTACAACACCAACTGAATAAAATAGAGGGAGCCTATGAATATTAGATTTTGGCACAGGGCCACGCAAGACAGAACACCTTGAAGTGCTTATTATTTCAGTTTATATTATGTTTAAGTGCACTGTCATAACTCCATTATCAGTTTTCAATCAAACTATCACAGACTGATTTCCAGTTATGAAACTTCGTCCAGCCTGGACTCTAAAGCAGCAGCCTCTGTATAAACAAACACTTCAAGCACTTGACAAGAAATCTGTTCATTTTCATTAAGTGTATTTACATGCTGAGTTTGGAAAACGTGATTGAATGTGCAGATGTTTGTCTTATGTAGGGGGATTATATGAGGCTTGACTCTGTCCAGACAACATAAGAACAATAATAATTATAGGTTCACAGGAGGTGATTACATTACCCCCCCCCCACAGAATAAAGTGCAGTCAGTCAGTCTACGTAGATCTCATTTATAAGAAAAAATTCATTATTACTCAGCTCTGGCATCGTGGTTTTTACTATGTCAGACTAATAATGGTTCTTTCACACTGTGCTTCTGCTTTGTATGTTGTCAGTTAGTATCTAAAACTGCAGAAAAGCTTTGTCTTTATTCTATCTATTCCCAATATTCTATTAATGATCTTATTAACATTAATATACCAAATTTTATTTGTCTCTTGTATTACGAGTCTCTTTGTTGGGTGTTTTAAATAGTTCCTGACATACATATCTATCTATCTATCTATCTATCTATCTATCTATCCATCCATCCATCCATCCATCCATCCATCTATCTATCTATCAGGTGTCTGCAGACAATGAGCTGCGTTCCACCCTCCTTCAGAGGCTCCTCCAGACCTGTAGGGGGCGAAACAAAGCCGCAGCCGCTCCCGTCCTGTGCGTAAAGCAGCGTCGTTGGGTCGAGTCTCTCTCCGTGGACCCTCCCACTCTTGAAGAGTGACACGCCATTCAATCGCTCGCCTGGCCCTGCGCTTGACGGATTCGAGAGGGAGCTCTGAGCGACCTCGAACGCACGGATAATAATAAACACCAATCAGACAGAAAGCGACCACATCTGCAGCGCTGCTGCGTAAAAACCCCAGATAGAAAAGTTGAGCCGTATCGTGCGCGTCATGGCGATCCGAAAGAAGGCGAACAAGAGCCCGCCGGTGCTGAGCCATGAGTTTGTCATCCAGAACCACGCAGACATTGTTTCCTGTGTTGCTATGGTGTTCCTCCTCGGGCTCATGTTTGAGGTAAGTACCCCGGACACATGTCGATAGGGGGGGGGGGGTGTTTGAACCGTGCACGGTGGCGGTTTCGGTGGGGTTGGCTGCTGGAGCTCGGCTGGACTCCCGGTCAGAAACCCATCTGGTGGCTGACATGGCTGTCTGCTTTATTCCGCACTACTTCCACCCGGAATCCAAAGTTTTTCTGCTTTCACCTCATTGCCCACCCCCCATGTCCCTGCAGCCTGTAGTGGACCCGTGATGTCTGAGTTGTAATCTAAGCATTGTGGGAAGTTGTGTCCTCTCTCCACCTGACTGCAGCCCGCGGTGAAATCGATATATCTCAGCTCTCCGGGTCGGATCTAATAGAAAAAGTTGCTTCTGTGCAACAGTGTCACTGTTTGGCCGGTGGGCGACACGGCATCGATCCCGCGGGTTCACATATTGTGCAGTCTGCACTTGGTCTTCAGTTTATGCGTCGATGTGTTACGTGGCAATCACACAACGAGAGAGAGAGAGAAGGGGGGGGGCTGTCATCATCATCATCATCATCATCATCATCACAAAGTTGTCCCCGGAGATCGAGAGCGCCTTTAACACAACTCGATCCCCCGGTTCGACGCCTTCCACCCGGCTGGATCCGTCTCTGCGCTCCGGTCCACTTTGTCTCAGAGTTGGACCATGTTTAGTGTCTCGTGTCGTCACTGGGAAGCAGCGCCATTAGTGTCAACGCGCCCGTTGTTTCATCTACTTCCTGTTTTTGTTTTCCACATTAAAACTCCCGTTGTTTCATTTTCATTTCAAAAGATCCCTTTATTTGCATAAGCAGCTGTTTCTGCGTGTCTCAGCCACGTGGCCCTTTTCTTATCTCTTCTTCATGCACATCTGTTCCCCTCATTTCTTTGGTTTGATCCCATCACTCATTGTCCCTGCATGATTATATTGATTAGATAAAGTCAATAATGTAATTTCTTGAGAAAAGCAGTTCTACATTTTATCCCCAAAACCCATAATAAACATTGAGTCGGTGCTGTTTTGCAGTTATTTGGATGTCAAAAGTGCGTCTCCAGCACTAAATTATCATAATTTATTGCTGAAATCAAACATACTGTTACTTTAACACAGATTAATTGGATTTAAGATTATACAAAAAAATAATGTGTTATGCCATTTTGGGTCCTTGATATGCAAATGATTACAATGCTCCTCATTTTATTGCATTTTAATAAAAGTAACCCTGGAAACCTGTTTGTGCATTTTATCAGGACTAATTAAATAATCCCAAATGTCATTTTCTTGAAAAAAGAATGAATTCTAATTGCTGTTCTCTTTAAATTTTATATTTATTCTTTTAAAAATCACTATTTCAGTTTTTTCTCGACTTTTTTTTTTGTTCAAAACCAGCCGACAGTTTGTTTTATAGATTGCTAGAAGAAAATGTTTAAAATCAATTTGTTGCTTTAGTGCATGTAAATAAAATGAACCTGTATGATGAATGCAGTCCTTGTTAATATGTCACATATGTGCATGTTCTCATGACTGTTTTTTTTTTTGTTTTTTTTACATCCACAGGTCACCTCGAAGTTTGCTGTGTTGTTCATAACTGTCCAGTACAATGTCACCATATCATCAACCGGTGAGTTAAAGATCAAATTGAAACTTTGGCTTTCACACGTGATGCAGCATTTTCCCAGTGTCGTCCTGCTGGAAGCCTCTCATTTGGATTCTAGAGCGGTACTTGCGTGGCCTTACACAAACCCATTTGAGGGCTCCTTTTTTTCCCTCTGGAGCTAAATTTAGTCCGCCTGATTTATAAAGTTCTCTTGTGGCAAGGTTGCGCCAGGCAAATTTGGGCTAAGGTGTAATATAAGCCTCACAATTCAAGTCCTTCTCATGTCAAGGTTATAAATTTCCTTTGGAGGCTGGAGCTTTGAGAGCTGCATGTTGCATGATTCAGTTCTTATCTGAGGGACCTTGCCACTTACCTGGCTCTGTAATTTATTTACAACCTTTATCTAATAAAACAAATAACACACAGCTTCTAAATCTCTCCTCAGTGAGACAGATCCAGTGCTGTTGCGTCTTTTTATTTATCTTTGCTGACTTTTGCAATTTGATTGAATTGATTTCTTTGTGCGGTTGTATAAACCTCCAGCAGTAACCTTCGTTCAAACTATTTGCTCACATGTCGTCTAAAATGCAGAAAGGCTCCCCATCTCGCAATGTTAAAGAAATTGGAAAAGCATTCCTGGATCCACCCCCTAACCTAGATCTGCACTAAATCTTTATTCCTGACCAATATCACATCTTTCGTGGTAATCTGTCCAAGAGTATTTGTGTAATCCTACTAACTAACAGCCAAACATGCAGACAGATGCAGACCAAAACTCCTCAGTGGAAGTATTAAATTAGATGTTTTTTTCAAATCTTGTTCATCACGATGACTTTGCATCACTTGTGTTTGTGTGTGTGTGTGTCTGTGTGCTCTGCAGAGGGCCCAGAGGAGACGGCCGTGAACCACTTCCACCATGGCATCAAGGACTTGGCCACCATCTTCTTCTACATGCTAGTGGCCATCATTATGCACGCCATCATCCAGGAGTATGTGCTGGATGTAAGTCCAGACACACTCACACACACACACTCACACACACACACTTTAACGCACTGACTTTCATCTCAGCGAACAGTTTTTAATTGTTTCATTTCTTTCATCTATGCAGAAAATCAACAGGAAGAAGCACTTCTCCAAAACCAAGCACAGCAAGTTCAATGAGTCAGGCCAGCTCAGCGCTTTCTACTTATTCTCCTTCGGCTGGGGCGTGAGCATCCTGCTCTCTGTACGTACAGTAGCTACACTGCCATTGCTTTTATTTGCAAATGGAATGAGCCCTGGACTTGGATTAATTAAAATTTAAATGCCTGTTTGTTCTCAGGAAAACTTCCTGTCCAGTCCATTCACCCTGTGGGAGGGATATCCCCACACACTGATGCCGTAAGTAGGAATATTCTCTGTGGCCGGCAGTGTTGGAGCTTGTTATGTTGTTGATTATTTTACAAGAGCTTCATATTTAAATGTTTAACTTATGACTTTTAATTTCTCTTGTTTTTATTCAGATTCCAGATGAAATTCTACTTTATCTGTCAGCTGGGTTACTGGTTACACGCTCTGCCTGAACTGTACTTCCAAAAGACAAAGAAGGTGTGTGTGTGTGCGCGTGCGTGCGTGTGTGTGTGTGTGTCTGTGTGTCTGTGTCTGTGTCTGTGTGTCTGTGTCTGTGTGTCTGTGTCTGTGTGTCTGTGTGTGTATCATTTTGGAGTAGCCTGACTTTCTTGTAGCTTCTGTTTGGACCCTGAGGCTACTTCCTGTTGGACTTCCTTGATTATGTTGTATTGTTTCAGTGACTCAAACTCCTTTTGCCTAATTCTACACGTCGAGCCGCGCTGCTGTAAATATTTAGCCCTGACATCCTCTGTGTTTACCGTTTAGGAGGATATTCCACGCCAGCTTGTGTACATCTTCCTGTACCTGGTCCACATTGCAGGTGCCTACATTCTGAAGTAAGAGCTGCTGTTACAGAAAGCCTGACATTACATGTGTGATTGTGTGTAAAGTAGCTTTCCAGCCATGCCTCCCTGTCTGTTGTAATAAAGTGTCTCCTTTTGTCTTTCAGTCTGAACCGTCTCTGTCTCGTCCTGCTGGTGTTGCACTACTGTGTGGAGCTGCTCTTCCACGTTTCCCGCCTGATCTACTTCAGCAACGAGAACAGACAATTGGGGTGAGTCCACGCTTTACAATTTAACTGTTAAAGATAACCAATGGTGAGAAGTTATGAATTCATCACCACGCTGCACCTCTCATCTTCCAGTTTCACCATGTGGGCCGTGCTGTTTGTCCTCGCGCGGTTGCTCACCCTGACATTGTCCGTCCTCACCGTGGGCTTCGGCCTCGCCAACGCCGAGAATCAGGGCTTTGATTTGGCAGCGGGAAACTTCAATGTTATTTTTGTGCGGTGAGTGTGTTTGAGAAGAGAATACAAAAATGATTCCTGTGTAAGAATCTGCCTTTCTAAATGTTACAGTTCATTGACCCTGAAATTCATCTGCAGCATTGTTGTTGGAGCATTGTGATGGTTATCTGTTACCATCAGGTTTGCTGCAAACTGTAGAATGATGCAACAGCTTATCTCCAGACTTCATGTAGTTCTGAGGTTCAATATAAAGAAAGAACTTCCCTATACAAGAGGAAGAGAGTTGTTCACCAAAACAAGCTTGTAAATTAGAATGAAATGCAACTATAACACCTATTGTGATGAGCAGTTGCAAAGAGAAGTGAGAGAATTGTTTCTACGCACAACTTATGGCTAAGAAATCACATAAGACTTAAAAAAAACACATAACTTTACTGTATCACTCCATAATGAACTAATTGAGGGAAAGTGGGACCTGCACATATTTGTAATGACCTTATGAGTTACTGACTGCTTCCTCTCTCCACTAGGATAACTGTCCTGGCCGCCATCTGCCTCACTCAGGCCTTCATGATGTGGAAATTTATCAACTTTCAGCTGCGCCGGTGGAGAGAGCACGCTCAGACTCAGACCCTGAAAAAGAAACAAGTTCCAATCAAGAGCAAATCAAAGAAAGACAAAGGTGAGGCAGCGAGGACGCAGGATGGAGTGTGTTAACGTCTTTATGAAGAATTCTTCGTCCTTACGGAGAAATAAGATTACAAACACACATATTAGAAACAACCAAATATGTCATAACTAGAATGGCACTCAGTGGAGCACATACCTCCGACAAGGTCCAACAGTCAGCGTAAGCTTAAATTCAGTCAAGCTGTGCCAAATTGCACACACTCATAGATATCAATCCTCTACATATACCTAATTTTTTTAAATTTAATCTAGATCCATGAATTATTCCCTGGGATATTGGTGAAAATGTCAAAAAACACATTCTTGCAATGTTGGAGAGTGAAAAAACATCCTGGATCTTCCAGTTCTGCACCAGAAGTTAATGGGTTCTTCCCCGACCCATAGTGCATCTCTCTACCCAGGTTTCGTGCATATGGGTTCAGTAGTTTTTTTGCAATTCTGCGAACAAACAAACAGAGGAGGAAACATAACCTCCTTGGTGAAGGGTATAAACCTAAAATGACAGATATTAGAATACAATCAATACTTTCTCCTCTTCTCTTGAAACACCATGTAAAATGCATAATGTTCATTTTTACCCACTCTTTACATGGGACTTACCTGTTTGTGTTCTTTGTTTCAGCCAATGGAGTAAATGGAGTGAACTCCCATGCAGCTGATTCACCAAGAGCAAGAAAAGAGAAGTCTTCATAAACACATTCCCTTCAGCCAATCCCATCTCAAAGACCCATCTCTCCCGGTGCCCGTGCCTGTGGCCAAACGGCGGATCGTCAACTCCTCCGCCATCGTTCGCGTTTTTCTGCTCCCACGCGGGGTCTGCCCTCCCAGCTGGACTTCCAAGGGCCTGAATGCATCTAGCTTTGCTCATCGCCAGTCGTCCAGCACGCCTTGATTTGGAGAATCATTGCTCTGCTGTGCCATTTCCAAAAACAAATTAAAAAAAAAAAAAAAACTATGGAAAAAAAAAGACCGTTATTTAAGAAGTGCCTATTGATACAGATTGTGTTGTACAGGGTGTGTAAATTTTAAAGTTCAGGAATGATGACTTCAGTGTTTCCTGGTACTCCCGGGTCAGACCATGCTTTCCCTAAATACTATGTATTGCAGCTTGTGCTTTATTTCTGTTTTTCCACACATTTATATTTTCTAGCTCAGCTTCTCTTCTTTTCCACCAAATCATGTTTTTGCAGTTTAGGAAAATGTCCATTTTTCTTTTTTTCTTTTAGCGACAGAGGTTGTATACACTCGTGTTATAATCTCCATCTTTAGGATACAAATGCGTTCACACCTCAGACTGTTCAAACCCACTCAGCGAGACATTTTTACAGTGTTTTCACTTTGTCAGTCACCAACACACATTATATCCACTCATGAATAGGAAAAGCAAACAAGGAAAAGCAGAGTTCTTGTAATCCCAACAGAACCTGCTGCTTGCCATGAAATGCAACTGAATCTATCACAGTTCCTCCTTGATGCTCTTTGTGAATAAACACACCATGTCTTAGCTTTTTGAGTGAAATAAGATCATTTTATCTGAGATGGAAAAGACAAAATCAGGCAAAACATCCCTTTTGTCAGTGTGATTGAACCTTGTTAGTCCCTCTTCATTTGTCGTGTAAGTGAAAAAGGGTTTCTTGTGTTTGTTTGACCTTGTATCTTATTGAATGAGGAAAAAGAAGAAGCATGGACTGGGATGTTTGGCTCTAAACCTGCTCTTCTTTGGACTGTGCCAAATGAGCCTGGTTGACTGTTGACAAATGCCTTTTTACTTCACATGCCATAAAATGAATTTATGGAGCGCAGCTGTATTGTAAGAATCAATCACCTAGGAAACGCCGGCTTATTCTAAAGAATGAACCCATTTACTACTTTCAGTAAATGTCCTGGGGGTTTGTCTATCCTTCAAAGGAATAAATTGTTTTATTGAATCAAAAAGAGCGATCAAGAGTTATTTGTTTATTTTAGTTGAATGTATTTCACACATCAGATATTTTGTAGTATTGCATTAATTTAAAATGATAGCAGTCATAAAAAAGGAGAATAATGATGATGTGACCTGTCATTGCTGCAATGCGACACATCTCGAAAGAGGCTTTGTGGAGGATCTTATACACTGAGGTCACTGGTTCCTCCTGCACACCACTAACTCTTGTCAATAAACTAATAATAATAATCTTAAGCTTTATTAGTGCAGTCATTTTCAAAGAGACAGGTTTACAAAATGCTTCACAGACAAAAACAGAAAAGTAGCAATTATATATTTTAACCAGTTAATGCAGGGGGCGAAGGATAAAACATCTAATTGAAAAGAAATGTTTTAAGATTTTTCTTTTTAAAATGGGAGCTTGTCTGGTCATTCCACGAAATACAAATTTTAATTGTTTCGATCATTTCCCACTCTTTCTTTTTTGTTTTACTGTGTTTTAAATTGAGTACATTATTATGTATATTCTCTAACATTTACATTGAGTTTCAAAACTGCAAGCAAGAAATATAAGCATTTTAGACATCAGTGTTGTTGTGGGTGGTTTTTTTTTGGCTGTAAAAAGTCAAAATGTATGTTTCTAACATAGAGTCTAATAAAATTGAAATTATCTTAACACACAAACTCTAAATCTTATTGTAAATATCCCTGAGTCAAACTTCAGAATACTAAAAAAGGTGTCTTGTCTTCTGACTGAAGAAATGATAACTTTAAAAAGCACAGTGATGGTGTTTCACCTCTCTGCCTCACGGTGGTACTGTTGCACAGGTTTTGGTGCGGAGAACACGCCTGTCGACAGAATAAAGTGGAACACAGTTATTTCTGTTTTAAAAGTTAGTTAATCGATTTTATCATTAAAATAGCAACCAATCACATGAAATTAGGTTTCATTAAAAAAAACCTCACTGGTTGTTAGTAAATGCTCTAGCAACTAATCTGGATTGAAATGTAATTTAAGTAGTGGAATTAAAGGAAGTACATTCACGTCACCAGCCTTTTTATTTGTAGCTATTATTTTAAATTCAAAATTTAAGATTTAATATTTGTTGTCATTCCAAAACACGAGGAACTATTTCTACTAACTGGCAGCAGTGAAATAAGACACTAAGAACGAAGCATGAGCAGCGAATAAACAGAAATAAATTAATTAAAACACTAGAATCTCAAACTGAACAGGGATAAATACAATGCAAATTAAAAAGGTGCAAATGATAAATATAAATATATATAAATATAAGTATTATTGCACAAGTCTCTGGTGTTGTTTATTTGCTTAGATTCACACATGTGTTGGGCCACACTGGTGCAGATGTGTTGATCCAGCACTTTACGTGTTTTTTATCTCAGTCAGAAACCTAATGTTGGATGGAGGGAGGAGGTGAGACAGTTTGACCACGTTTTAAAACCCACAACACGGGGTTTAAACACCATCACAGCCGCTCGTGGGACCAGCGGTGTTTTTAAAGCGACTGTCCCGAGGCTGTCAACAGTAAACACGGATGAAAGCCCCGGTGCTGCGGGGTCGGGTCCGCGGGCTCCTGACAGGTAAATCGCCGCGGGAGGGGGGGTGGGTTTGCTCACGGAAGCCCCGGCGGTGAGTGAGCTGATAGCGCTGCTGCCGGAGCCCCGTGATGTGGTTTGGTGTGGGGGAGGATAGCAGCAGCCAGATAAACACACACTCAGTGTTGGGTTTGCAGCGCAGGGAGAGAAACATGGCGGCACAGTTAGCCAGCAGAAATGTTGCTCCGCCGCCGCGAAGGTCAGAGCCGCGTCGGGTAGAGGGGATTTAAACAGCGAGGACACGGGCCGACAGTATTAGAAGGTAAGTAGCCACACGCCGCGGTGAGACGCTGGGGGTGGACACTGGGACCGGGCTGTTTTGGTGGTGAAATCCGCCTGCGAGCGCCTCAATCTCGGCTGCGAGTCTCGTCTGGCACGGGGCTCCTCTCGCTCGCCTCGGCGCTAGCTCGTTAGCAGCTGCTAGCTTCCCTCGGCTAAGCCTGTGTCAGCGGTGTTTTCTGCAGCAAACTCCGCTCGGACAGTGATGTTTACGGGCTGATTTTTTATTTTATTTACCCGCAGGTACGAAAGGGAAACACGGCGTCCACGACACTTTCGTGTGTCAGTGTGTGTTATTGTGTGCTGAGTGAGCGGGTGACCGTGCGCACAACACCGGGCGAAGTTCGCCAGTGTAGCAGCAGCGAGAGGGAGAGGAGGGGGGAGACGTCGTTAGCATGCTAGCCGTGTAGCTGCGGGCTAATGTGGCCGTGTGAGCGTGGTTGTCAGGGGTATAAGAGTGAGCCAGGACCCGGGGACACTTCTCCCTCCACCTTGTGTGTGTGAGCGAGCTGGATGTTCACCCCCGCTTGTTGTGCTTGTTAGCCGCCCCCCTTCTCAAGCTGCTAACCCCGGGGTAAGTTGACCGAATGTCTGCGTAATTGCTCAGGATGCAGGGAGCACGCTCGCTTTTTTTCAATCCTGCCGAACTAATGGAGCTCTTGTTGTTTACTGTGCGGGGTCCATGTTGCCCCGCTGGTGTGTTAGTCAGCAGAGGAGCTGCAGCACTAGAACCAGTAGTTTTCAAAACATTTGGGGAAAGTGCTCCGAAAGTTGTCCGGGATTGTGCGCTCAGTGTCGGGGGAGGAGGAGGAGGTCTGCAGGGTGCTTGCAGCTTGTTGTTGCATCGCTCCTTCAAACATCCTGCATGTATCTTAAATCAACATTTGAATCAATCACGTGGCAATGCACGCATGCATGCACCAATGTGGGCATTTTGGGATTGCATGCATTGGCTGAAAAACGCATGGTGCTGATGCAGTATGGAGGAATGCAGCTCAGTGGGGGTTGCCTGGTGTGTTTGGGAGCGCACTGCCCTGCTCCCTGAAGCCTCTCTTGCTTGACTGCTCCGGGACTATACAGGCGGACAGCTTGCGCCATTTCAGCGGTCCTCCTCCTCCTCCTCGGCGACGCTGGAGGAACGCAGCCCGTGGAACCAGTTGAGCGGTGTCTGTTGCGTCACCCTGCCCACCTGAGGGTGCACGGTTTTCGCGTGTCACATCGCTGCTGATATGGGATTTAAGGTGACATGCTGTTCAGCTGCGGTTTGGCCGAGCCTCCTTCCACCTCCAGTGAGGATGCAATGTGCTGGATTTCAGTCAGAAATCCCCAGTAGGAAGAAATATAAAAGAGGATCTTTTTTGTCTTAAACTGTAAAAGGGGATTGGAGCGTTTAAAAATAGGGTTGCTGTCTCTTCAGTGTGCCTGTGCCAGCCTGAGAAGCTTGTTATCTCAAGGGCATGGTGCCTGAAGTTATTGACTTGTGAATGTGCAGTGTAACAAAACTCACTCACAATGATTTACATACAACAGGAGATTAAACTGTCTGTCATTGGAATAAAGGACAAATATAATATCTTCCTTAAATGACAAGATTTTAAATTTCGAGTGTTTCAATGAAAACATGACAGTACAATTTGGTCTACATGAACATGTGTTCTTACAGTATAGTTATATTGCATCCTCAAATTTGATCGTTTTGTTTTTAAGGTAGAAACATGCTGCTTTAGGGAATCATGTAACTGGAGAGATTGTCTTGGAAATTTTAGTTTTATCGTTTTGACATGCAAAAGAGTGACTGTTGGGATCATGACTCATGGAATTCATGGGAGCATATGTGTGTGTTTATGGATGTTTATACAAGGATAACTGATTGGAGGCTGTTGGTTTTTTTCATTGCATTGACATGGCACAGTTTATATGACACGTATTACCTGCATTTCTCTGCACCATAAACTACAGCTACAGCAGCAACAAGTGTGTGACTCGGCAATGTCCGGCTTGTCACTTCACCTGGAAACTACATCTGCATTCAGCTCCCGCTCTCTTGCAAACTGGCTGTCTTTTCTCACGCATGGTTCAGTAGTTCCCTTCACACAACTTCAATGTCACTCAATGTTCAGCGTGTGTTCACATTTTCATGAAGCAAAGTAGTACGTTCAGTGATTCAGACCTGCCATCTTGTGATCTCTGACCTTTGCCCTGTGATTAGGCTTTTTTGTTGCGTCACCTGAGTGATACTGTAATCATTTGAACCTTGTTCGGCAAACGCTGCCCCTGCTTTAGTTGTTGCTTTAGTTCTATGTACTTAAGAACACTAGACCACCTATCCTTTTTATTTTTTGCTGATAGCTAACGCGTACATTTTCGGTCAATTTTTTGATTCCAGCCTCTCCATTGAGAATATTTGCTGGTTTCATTCATCATCTATGATTGTAAACTTAACATTTTGAGGATAGGGACTGATGGTTGTGCTCGATACATCATTATGGCAAATAAATCCTTTACAGGGAGCTTCTGTGCAGATTTCTCATTTTTCAGTGATATTTTGTTAAACCAGCACCCATCAAATTCTTTGCCACTGCATGTGCATGTTGTTTTTTGTCTCTTGGTCCAACAAAACAACAAATCAATAGCTCCAGCCAAATGTAGCCCCCTTTTCTTTTTCATTTTGGGATCAGCAGGATTCAAAAAAATTAAGCAAATCCATGTGAATGTATTGCGTGGCACATACTGTGATTGTGAGATCCTAATCTCATGCATTCCCCAAGTAATTCTGGCCCATTAAGAACAATAAGGTTTATTTAAGTAGCCAAACTTGGTTCAGTTTAGTAACCAAAGCTCATAATCAATTTTAAAAGAATGAATGCATTCGCACTCACCTCTGTGCTTTGGACTCATTACACTTTTCAGCAGAATATCGATTTGGATGTCAAACATTTACATTAAGTACCACTAAATTCTTTATTACCTCAAAACAAAGTTAAATTCTGACATAAATCCCATTTTGAACCTGTCTTGTTTTACCAATAACTACACTGCTCCTCTTGTTTCCACTCAATCTACTTTGTTAACAACATTCAGTTGAGTTATTAGAACTAGGCGGGAAAATGAC